GTGGATCTGAGATGACCACTCACTGATGGTTTGCCTAGTCTTGGAGAGCCAAGACTGTGATGCAAGTGGTATTGGACTACCAGTGTGGCAAAGGTGATTGGGCATGGCCTTAGCGTAACAAGCTGCCATGTCGGTGGTACCTTTGAGTGTCGGTCATGGGATCGGACACGTGGAGCACTTGGACCAAGTGCAAATGTTGAGTGGCATGGATGCCATTCTCGGGGCTAGCAAGTCCCAAGTCCTGAATTGGACTTATGGAGGTTGTGAATGAGACTCCTCCAAGTGGTCGAAGGTGTGGTTAAGTGACTAAAGTAGAATGGAAAATTTAGTCGCTTACAGGTGTCTGAGTCTTAACATCTTTAGACGTAGAGGAGAGGTCATTCCATAACTCATTTAAGTCGGTGTGTTTCCCATATAGTGTGCTTTCCGTTAACTTTCGGAGTTGTTTCCTTGACGGTTTGTTAGACTAGGGTATGCATCAACGAGGACGTCGATCTTCCCCAAGGGGGGGAGAGTGTCGCGAATGTGACTTTGGGTATCGAAAGATACTTGTCAACCGGTCCTTATGGACACTCTTTCCTTACTGCCATGACGGCAGGAGATCGGTACAGTTGGATCCCTTTAGTAGCCCCTCTTGTGCTAGTGGAGTTAACTGGGCATTTCGAGTGTACTTAGACCGGACGAGCATAAGGATGGAATTCCTACGTGCTATTAGTTAAGCATACTTAGCCCGGTAAGGAGTTCCCGTCTCGTTATGTCTTGCACTGGCTAGTGACAAGAACCCTCGCATATTGAGATTAGTCCCTCAATATCGTCAAATGATAGCTTACCGTGTCTGCCAAACACCCTCGCTATCATTGCCTTTGTGTTAGTCTCATTTCGGTCCCAAATGCTATTTATGGAAAGTGTCTAGATTTACTCATTTGGCATATCTACGGAATGTAGAGGTCGGCCTGAACACAATGGTGTTCATCCCGTGTCCAAATTCGCAATCTAGCGCCATTCCATATTTAGTAAGTTTCGAGCTTGTCCCAGAGACTAACTCCTGGTACTAAGGGAGGCTTGGGGTGAAAGCCCAAAGTGTGTGTTCCTCAAGAGGGGGGGGGGGGGGGGGGGGTGCTGTGGGGGGTTCCAAATGTATAGTAGGGATAGTGGTTGGAATGCATGTCTAACCACCTAAGATATTAGTTTGGCTCCCACTAGGCTGTGTTGCTCCTTGTTCTGCGTCCGGCTTGGGTCTAAGCCCAAGCTCCACGCTGCTGTGTAGTCAGTGGAGTACCCTCCTCCTCGCGTTAGGCCACCGGTATGCCAAAATTGTGCTAGACTCCATCTGACACCATTTTGCGTGCAGGTGCTGGATACAAGGAGCTGGTGCTCGTGGGATTGTACCAGACCCTCATTTCGTAGCGCAAAGGGCTTGGAGTTCGGCTCCAAATTCAGGTGCGCTACACATGTGAGCCACAAGTATAACATAACCCCATGCACTCTTCATTTTTTTCCTTGGATTCCTTTGACTCATTTTTGTTTCACTGTGCTAGATTCTCTCACCGCTTGTGGCTGCAATGCACATCTATGCCGATAACAATTGGCAATCTTTATCTTGTCGTAGTGGATGCTGTGGCAGTTGGTCCAAAGTCATTGGTGGCATATCGTCTACGACACCCTTGGTCCCCCAACCATTCACCACAACCCTTGTTACCAAGTGGATTGCAATCCCAAAGACCTAACATTTACACTTGTATGGCTGGAAAAGAGAGCCATTAGTGAAGGTGACGAAACTTGATGGCAATAGACCTCAGAATGTCTCATATGGGGTGGCTTATACTCTAGCATTTCTTTCGAACCCGGTACAACCCAACATGTGATTCTACTACTCCAAACCTCAGGAATCCATCCATGACCAACCCAGGAGCATTTGTGTGGCATGCAAGGCAATCCAATGGTGATGAGGCCCATGTCAAGTTTGCAAAATTTGGCCTCAACTTTATTTGGCTTTGCTACTGGCCTCCTCAAGCATCATGGGGAGCTATAGCAAACAAGGCCAATGGCAACCAGGCAACTATAATCTGCCTATATAATGTTATAGAGCATCTTACTAACAAACATTGGCTAAGTTATCAAAAGCAAGCCCAAGCACTCGAGGAAAAGGATGTTTGCAAATATAAGTCATTATCTTCTTTAAGTCCACTCCTCACAAATATATGTTGTGGTCCTTGCAATTGTAGCTACTATAAATGCCTTGACTGCAGATGGTGATCCCTTGAGGATAGCCATTTCTCCCAAGGCCAACTGTGCAAGAACCAAACCAAGATAAGAATAATGAAGAAAAAGACTCTGCAGATGAAGAAGACATTCTTTCATTGCCAAAAGAAACTCTCCCCACACAGGACAATACACACATTACAAAAATGAAGAACAAGGTGATGGTGGGGATGAACTATGCCAAGGTCTCTAGAGACATCCTTGTCACCAGAGGTAGTGGCTCTAGGTTATACAGTTGGTAAGAAGTATCAACACAAATGAATATTGCTTTCATTGCCTCCACCCCCCTTTCTAGAGGGAAGTAACTCCATTCTTTTTACTCTTATAGAGTTGCTTGACAACTTTACTATAGTAGAGTAAGATAATTGAAAATTGTGCCATTTGAAATTGAACTAATGTTTACATGTAGATTGCTAGAGTGTCAACAACAATGGATTGATGCCACTAATGCATTTAATTAAGCTATTCAGCTAACCACTCAAGATAATGCCAACTTTATCATGCTGTAATATAAAGAGGTTTCTGCCTTAGTGTTGTGAATGTAACTTTGGGTATTGAAAGTTACCTGTCAGTTAGTCCTTTCGGATATTCGTTCCTTACTACCACAACAGTAGGAAGTTGGTATTGTTAGACCCTTTATCAGTCCCTCTTGTTCAAATATTAGTAAATTGGACTTTGCATCTATACTTGGCTAGACAAGCATAAGGAAGGAATTCCTAAGTGTCTATTAAGCCAAGCATACTTGGCCCGGCTTGTTAGTTCTCTTTTGTTTTGTCTTGCACTGGCTTGACAAGAACCGTCACGTATTGAGACTAGTCCCTCAATATTGCTGGATGATAGATTACCGTATCTGGCAAACACCTTCACTATCATGCCCTTTGTGTTAGTCTCATTCCGATCCTAAATGCTATTTATGGAAAGTGTCTAGATTTGCTCATTTAGTATATCTATAGAATGTAGATATTGTCCTGAACACAATGGTGTTCATCCCGTGTCCAAATTCACAATCTAAGGACATTCAATTTAATATTTAATAAGTTTCAAGCTGGTCCCAAAGACTAACTCTCGATACTAATGGTGGCTAAGGGTGAAAGCCCAAAGTGTGTGTTCCTCGGGGGGGGAGGGGAGGGGGGGGGATATAGGGATAGTCCAAATGTATAGTAAGGATAGTGGGTAGGTTGGAGGAGCTTTGGTGTGGGAAGAAGCCATAATAGATGTAGGCAGGCCACATGCAAAAGCCATTAAGGAGGATATTCACCAGATTCCAAGATAGAGAAGGAGCTACATATTAGCATCCTAGGATGCTAGTGCATTCTAAGACATTGCAACAAGAAAAGTGGGACTTGGTAAATTAAGTTTAAAGCATAAGTTTTATATGCTCTTCATTTCTATATGCACAGGCTGTCTTTGTGGGTTGGTTACTATTCCAAGCGTTTGAATGTAATGCATAAGTATCTTGCAGATGTACAATTGCAACATTGGTAATGCAGCCGGAGAGGTTTTGGACAAGAATGACTTATGATTTGCCTAAAGAGGACTATATAAGATGGACCTCAATGCATGTACACCACATATCTAGAATGCATTCAACCAATTGTGAGATGTATCAGGCCTAAAGGAGGAGGGCAATTGGTGCAAGTCTGTGGATTCTATCCTAGAAAAACCAACAATTATTGACTACAATGCAATGCTTGAGTTTAGACTCACCAAACTTGGTGAAGGTTATGAGCAAGTTGTGGAGGCATGCATGGTTATAGTGGTCTAGCATTACCTATTCATTAAACCAAATATAGTGGGAGACTTACTCCGAGATAGCTTCCAACACTCAATGCATATGGAAGCTCATTAAAGGCTTTATAAGAGTCCAGCATTGCTAAGTGGGCTTTCACTCATTAGGACAGATGCTTTGTTACAAGTCTTCTGAGTAAGGACAATCATTCCTTTTATAGTATTCATCAATTACCTGGTCTTTGATTAGGATTTTGGAGAGAACTTCCACAGCTAGATTGTGGACATCATCTGAGGTAATTATTTACTTTCATAAACAACTAAAAATCTTGTATGTTTAAGCATTTTATAGATATAAGCCCAAGAGAGTTATCCAAGTTCCATCACTTCATAGTTGATTCACTAGAGTTCCAACTAAGAAAGCTTATTTGGAAAGGGAAGGAAACTTCTCGTATGCATGGGAGAACCTGGGAAATTGAGCATACAATGTACCTTGTCTCTCAACTTAATGTACCTATCAATGGAGTGGACTAAACACAAGATCCATTAAGCACTTCAGAATCCAAAAAGATTGTATGGATTGGGTTGATGTTGTGAAAGTACTGTAATCTAGACACTTTCATAATAAAAATAGATAATTGTTTTGAAAATATATATTTCTTTGACACTTTGAAAGATTCAACTTAATTCATTAACAAAGCTAAAAGTGAGGATATTTAAAATATTCCACAATTGCCCATTATAGGCACTTGTGGCCCTTGGTACCCTTCTAGCTTATGCTTGCCTGCCAAACATGTAGTGTGAGTGAAATATGCCATTGTAATTTACACCATTTTAAATTGCACACCATAACACACTACCTCAAATGAATGTAATGGTTGGCCAGACCTTGCAAAAGAAGATGATGGGCACGGTATGGAAGCTTGACAAGCACCAAGTTGCTTACAAGTGGATCTCTGATGCAAAAAGAAGAAAAAAAACAAAGAAAATTTGTAAGTTACCACATGGTAAACCATAATTGGCTAAGCAATATATTACTTATTTCTGTTTTTGTTTTTTTTCAGAGTAGTCCATTATGGTATGAATTACAAAGCAATGTAATAGAACCCAGAGCGCAGGGGTGCCACTAATCCAAAGATTGATAGCTTTGGTGATTCGGACACTCAGGTCCTCTGCCATGAGAATTTGGATTTGCCCCAGAGCATCACGTAGACCAGCGCCAGCAAAATGGGAACTTCCAGGAGAGGTCCCATGGTCGCAGCCAGTGCCTCGGATGAGTCTATGCCAAAGACTCCCACAGCCACTGCGATGGCGAGCTCGAAATTGTTGCTCGACGCCGTGAACGCCTGCGTGACCGACTGCTCATACGACACCTTCATCAGCAGGCACAGCCCCACGGTCGCGGCAAACACGATTCCAAAGTAAATCGCCAGCGGCACCGCCACCCTCGCCACCTTGTCCAGATTCCCCACAATGTGGTGCGCCTGGAGAGAGAACATGACGAAGATGGTGTAGAGCAAACCCAGCAGCGCGAAGGGCCCGATGATTGGCAGGAACTTAGTCTCATACCACCGCTTCCCCAGGCTGGAGCACAAAACTGCTCGCGTGATCATCCCTGCCGCCAGTGGAGCTCCCAGGAACAGAAGCACACTCTTGGCGACTTCCCACATCCCAACGTGAATCCCAGTGTCCCGCGAGAGGACCTCGAGGAAGAAGAGCGAGAGTGGTCCATAGAGGATGATCTGGAGCAGCGAGTTGAAAGCTACGAGGATGGCACAGAGCTCCGGATCACCCTTTGCGAGATCGTTCCACACCAGAACCATGGCTATGCAGCGAGCGATCCCGACGAGTATGACACCTCTCCTGTATCCTGGCAAGTCTGGAAGCGTCGCCCAGGCGAGGCCTGTCATGAGCGCCGGGCATAGCAGCCAGTTGAGGAGGAAACTCAGCGCCAGGCTCTTGACCAGAGCGCCCCCGGCAAGCATCTTTCCCAGGAGCTCGTAGCGGACCTTGCACAGGACTGGATACATCATCACCCACAGGCCAACCGCGATTGGGAGCGAGACGGAGGCGATGGTTGCGACTTGGAACGCATCTCTGACGCTCTTGACGTAGTATCCGACCAGAACAGCCGAGACCATCACGGCCAGGATCCAAACGAAGAGGTAGCGGTCCAGGAAAGAAAGCTTTGCATAGACCGCTTCTTCTTTCTCTGTGAGGAAACACAGGAAAGACGTCAAACTTCTATCAAGCAACACCGAGAGACGAAGACCCACAACTCAGTTCTTCGCCCAAATAATCATTCGCTTACCGGGTTTCTTCGAGATCTCACAGGAGACTTTGTCTCCATTAGCGAGCACGATCCAAGTTTCTGGGCTCTCGGTCAGCACCTGAGCACGTGAAAGGAAAAGAATCAAAACAGTTGAGAATCGCACTTAGAAAAGAAAAGAAAACCTGTGGGTCGCATTTGCAATAGGCAGTGACGAGCCCTTTGGTCTCTTTCACGCCATGAGCAGGAACATCGCCAGTGGATTCCTCGTCAGCGCTAGCAAATCGACATCGTAGGCCGGACGTTGCCAGTAGCGCGACAGCGGACCTGCAAATAACCTCTACCTCCATTTCAAACGACCTAATCTGTGAGGAAGAAAATATCTCGAGCTTACATTGTGGTTTGGTCAACCAATCCTTCCGGATTTTCCTCCAAATCGTGCCAGGATTCGGGGCTTGCCAGGTACTCGTTCTCGTCGATCATCCCGGGGCGGCGAGGATGCACAAAAACACATTCTCGTTGGGTTTCTCTCCCATCTCCCGGACAAACAAAACAACGCGGCCCACATCGCTCCGATCCACCAGGCCGTGAGTGACGAAAGCGATAATCGTATTCCATTTCTGTCACAAATCCATTTTAATCGCTACAACAGCAACATGGATGTTGTGTGTGACAATGCGACTGACTTTTCTTTTTCTTGCTTGCAGTCAGCGACTTGAACCACCTGATTTCGGCGACCATGAGCGGCGTCAAATGCTCTCTTTGATTCCCTTTTGGACTTCACGGTCCAGGGGTCAGCAGTATAGCACGCTGACCGCGCCAGAGCTCACTCAGCAGATGTAGGACAGTGCCCCCTGCAATGTTCTAATAATGAAAAACACGAATGAACGTATATAACGTTTATCATAATTTTTATTGATTATAATTATTAGTTCATTAATACTAATTATTATTATTATTGAGCTAGTTCATTGTTTCTTTCAGTCCTTCCTTGATTTGCAGTTCTTGCCTCAAATTGATTCAGCAGCTCTTAAGATTTTTATTATCAGCTGGTTCATTGTTTATTTTGGTTCTTCCTAGGTTGGATCTCTCTAGCAAAGGCATTTTCAAACCCTACCACAATTCAGAGGACCTAGGTCTGGTATTGTTAATGTTAATGTTATTTGATTGTTATTATCCATGGAATATGCCCTCTAACATTAAATTTGATGCACAAATGTTCTCAACCTTTATTTTGTTTCACACATAGTTAAGTTAACAAGTAATGATTAAAAACCTCTTCCTCCAAATGGAATAGTTTTTTATAATTTTCTTCATCATCCTCATATCGCAAATTTTGCAACTTCTTGGTATTCTACTTATTATTATTGACTATTCTTCTTGCTCACCACAATGATGATTCAATATATGATGTTTATTCCCATCCTATCCACAATGATCATTATGATAATTCTTGACTAAAAGACTCTTCAAATGCTTGTGAAACTTGTGTTTATCATATCAAGTTAATGAGATGAGCTACACCATAAAGCTCCTCTAAACTCTTGTAAGTTGGGAATGATACAACTGTTGCCTCATACTCTCACTATGAAGACTATTAATGAAACAAGACTTTTTTCAATCTAGATATTTCATTGAAACACAACTAATTAAGTGAGTAACCTTCTCAAAATAATTTTCAAATGTCATTTTCCCTTATTGAAAATGTCGAAGTTCCATACAAGCATTCTCCACATCATAATAAGGGGTAAAAATGTAAACAAAAAGTAGTCTCAAACTCATCCATGATATATATTGATGGGTTTAAATCTGACACACTAGACTCCTTAAATTAATTCTACCATAAAAAACCTATATCACACAAAATCATTAAAATTGCCACTAAAGCCTCTATGTTTTGAATTCTATTATAGTGGATTAACTTAGCATTTCAACCTTTTTAGGTGATGGTAGCATAAATGAGTATTTGGCTTAGCTAGCCAATATAAAAAAATTCTTGGCTACAAAAAGTTTTACTTAAAGCACCACTAGCCTTGAGTGCCTTAATATGCCCATACATTAAAGCTCTCCTCTTACTTCTTTTGCTAATTTTTGTTGAGTGCTTACATCTCATGAATAACATCATGGTTAATCCAAACCTTTGCAACTCCATTGACACTACCATCAGCCCACCTTCAACATTAGGATTTTAGCATTCATCTTAGACAAAAAGAATGAGTGTTCTTTAGAATTTGAATTCAAGACACTCTTGAGCTACTTGTTATTTATTCATAATTTAGGGGACAAAAAACATGTGAGGAAGAAGCAACAATATAAAATATACTTGAGGAATTTACTAATATCTTTCTATTTAAATTTCCTCATAGATTGCCTCTATTATAAAGTGTAGAGTATGAGATTACACTAAAGCCAAAAATTAGGCCAATCTATCAATGTCCATTTTGACTAAGGTATATAGAGGAGTAAGAGGTTCAACAAGAAGTTAAAACATTACTTGATTTTAGATTTATTTAGCTAAGTATATCATCGTTTAACACACTGATCTCACCCATTGAAGAAGAAGGATAACTCAATACAAATATATATTGATTACCATGTGTTAAACAAAAAGATAGTGAAGGATAAAATACCAATATTGCATATAGATGATATCTTAGACAAGTTTAGTGAAGCTTTAGTGTTTACCAAGATTGATTTAAAAAGTGGATATTATTAAATTGCAATAAATGATGTGTCTATCTTCAAAACAACATTCAATATAAGTTTTAGCATTTTGAGTTTATAGTATGCTATTTTGTTTGACAGATGCATTAGCCACATTTACTCAAGTGATAATGAAGATGTTTGAGTATTATCTACATAAGTTTGTAGAGGATGATATTTTTATTTTTAGCAAGAATATAAAGGAGCATAATATGCATTTATGCAAAGTTTTTTTATTATTACATAATAATAGAAGAAGAGCAAATATAAATTTACAAAGTTGGAAGTGGAGCATCTAGGCTGTATTATGACATTTATGGAACTGGGAAAAAGGTGGTTGTGGTGGAAAATTGTCAATATTAACTTTAGTGGCTAAGTTAAAGAGTTTTCTTGGTATAACTAGTTATTATTAACATTTATAGTATAAATTTATAGAGGTGGTTATTCCTTTGCCATAGTTGTTGCATAAGAATATACTATTTAAATGGAAGAAGTTATAAGAGGATAATTTTGTGGCATTGAAACGTTTGTTGTGTAAAGCTCTAATGTTTTGGATTGCTGATTCATCAAAACCACAAAATTTAAAGTTTGACATTTATATACAATATATTGTCCTAAGATCATGAGAACTCCCCTCTAATTACTCACATCATAAGTAAAACAACAATATTCTAAGTATAAGTACTTTCAATTGTTCATATTTTATGAACATGTACCCTTTATGAGTAATGGCTCTATTTAGTGGAGGCAATATCTTTATGGCACAATGTTAATGGTGTTGATGGTGTTGTATATCTATTCCCATAAAAGGAATTGAACATTAGGCAAGCTTATTAGATGGCCACACTCATAGAGTTTGGGGAATTTTTTATCAAACATCATTTAGGGAAATTTAATATAATGGTGGATGTTTTATTTTATATTCATCATATGACAAAGTTAGGAATATAGTTTTGTAATTATTTGAGTAAGGTTATCAATGAGTTTGAGTAATATGTTGAGCATGCTCAAAATTAAGATTCTAAGATGGTCTCTTTACAAGCCTAAATGGAAGGACTTCTTTATTGGTGGATGGGATTCTCTACTACAACAGCTGTGTATTTCCCACAAATGGATGTGTTGATTGATCAAATTTTATCCACTATCATGATCGTTAAAAGGCTAGTCTATTTGGGTTTATAAGTTGATTAAGTGTAATTTTTAATAGAGGAATATGAAAGATGATATCCTTAAATATTGTAAATCATGTGAGATCTATCAGCATGTAATAGTGCTATGAGAAAAGTTGAGAGGAGTTTTGCAACTTTTACTTATTCCTTAGAAACATTGGCATAGTATTTCTATAGACTTCATCATTTATTTATTGTAAATATAGAGGCAAAAAAAGGAAATGTAGGTTTTAATGAAATATATATGGTTATTAGCTCTTTAGAAGACTAACACTACCTCAAACTTGGCTTTAGTTTACTTGGAAAAAGTTTTTCCTAATTTTAGTTTGGCAAAAGACATTTATATGAGACATAAATCCCAAAGCCCCAAAAGTGGAGCTGAAAAAGTACTATGTAGTAGTGGTCAAAGCAAAAGCTAAATAAGTGTAACACATTCAGACTAAAAACTCCGACTTGAAAAATCGAGAGCAGGAATGGAACTCTCAATAAAGTGCTCAAAGAACAAGCACAAAGCAACTAATAAATGATTCTCTAGAAAAGAGACACAAGAAGACCAACACATAACATGTGGATGGACCCGAGATGGACCCGAGACGGAATCCGAGATGGAATTTAAGATGGACCCGAGACAGAATCCAATATGGAGTCCGAGATAGACCTGAGATGAAGTCCGAGATAGACCTGAGATGGAGTTCGAGATAGACCTGATATGAAGTCCGAGATGGACTCAAGATGGAGTCCGAGATGGAATGAACACCAAGACCGAATCTGATTCTGAAATCAAGTCCAAGTCTGAATACTAATATAGGTAGTTGGGTGAAAGCCCAAAGCAATCGTTCCTCTAAAAGGGGTTCCAAAAGTATAATAGGGAGAGTATAAGGGTTGAACTCCAGTAGAACCAATTTTGCTAGAAAAAGCCAGTGTGGCCTAGGAAGGTTATACCCATATATTAGGTGATGATATAACCACTGGGAAGTCCAAAGCTAGAGTGAATATAGACAGACAAATGGGGTAATTTAGTGAAGTGTTCAAGAGCCGGCTCTAGTTCCCCCGGGAGATCGACTGGCCAATGCTCCCAGTCTAAGTGTGGGTGGCATTACCTACTTGGACACCAAGTGTGGCTCAACGGAACCTCACTCTAAGCCCATGGCTAGAGCACCCAAAGGCGGAAGGCGGGGAAAGTACCCACGAGACTTGCATAAGGCCATGGTATTCCGAAATATTATCCTGAATGCCCAAACTGTGGAAAGGAAGAGGAGTAGTCCTCTGGTGTAGTGACCAAGGATACAGTCGTGTGGTGAGGAAGTCCCAGAGGACTGTGGGACTTAGTGGTCGGGCCTGTGGGCCTTGATCCAGTGGCAGTGTTGGTGAACACGGCCATGGGCAAAAAGGGACTTGGTGGGGACCGGAAAGGGGATATTGGGGAAGGCTATTCCCCATGTCTATGGGCATCCTAAGGATGATAAGGAGTGGATCTGGGATGATCACTTGTGGATGGATGGCCTAGTCTTTGAGAGACGGGACTGTGGTGTAGGTAGTGTCAGACCACCAATATGACCAAGGTGAATGGGCATGGCCTTAGCGTAACGAGTTGATGTGTCGGTGGTACCTTGGGGTGTCGGTCATGGGATCAGACACGTGGAGCATTTGAACCAAGTGCAAAGGTTGAGTGGTGGAGATGCCATTCTCGAGGCTAGCAAGCCCAAGTCCAAAATAGGATTTATGGAGGTTGTGAGTGAGACTCCTCCAAGTGGTCGGAAGTGTGGTTAAGTGACTAAAAAAGAATGGAAAAATTAGTTATTACACCTTGACACTAGGCTCCTTCCTATGGAAATCCTCAT